ACTTGGCAATTTGTACCAAAGCTTAGCCGCTGACTTTCCTATTGTTACCATTGAAGATCCTTTCGATGAGGATGATTGGTCCAACTGGTCCAAATTCACTGGCAAAAATGCGGACCAATTCCAAGTGGTGGGTGATGATCTTACAGTTACGAACATCGAGAAGATTGGACGCGCCATTGAAGAAAATGCATGCACTTGTCTTCTTCTCAAGGTAAACCAAATTGGATCCGTCTCGGAGAGTATTGCTGCAGTAAAGATGGCCAAAGAAGCAGGATGGGGTGTCATGACCTCTCACCGCTCTGGAGAAACAGAAGATACCTACATTGCCGATCTGGCTGTTGGTCTTTGTACCGGCCAAATCAAGACCGGAGCTCCCTGCAGATCTGAGCGTCTTGCGAAGTACAACCAATTGCTTCGAATTGAAGAAGAGTTGGGTGCCCAAAACACTGTTTACGCTGGAGAAGGTTTCCGCAAGACTGCTTGGATGGGAGACCCAGTTAAGGCTTGAGCTCTGTGTAGTGTCCATTCAATAGCAGTAGTCTGGAAAACTAAAAACTAGGATCTTTGTCTTTGCTTGCACGTTGTAGCGGTGATGCAGAGATCCGTCCAATACGACGTACGACACTACTATTAGATACACTCGTAAAAAGCAGAAAATACTCCGAGTTTACTACTACGTACTCATCAGTGGTACTACCTACCGGTAGGTAGAGTTCGTACTATAGTAATACCGGTTCTGCACCGTAGTACAGGTATCTGTATGGTACCGGTACCGGTAGTCCAGTGCGGTATGTTTTTGTCGCGGTTGTCTGTACGACATTCACAGTCACAGTCAGACGGGGTTTAGGCCTTATGATACACGTCAGTTCAAGGTGTTTTGCCGCGTGGAAGCACTCCAATCATGAGTGAAGGGAAAGAAGCACAAGATACTCGCTGCAATCGGCGTTTGATGGCATGGAAGGCTAACCTCAACTTGTCGCCTTTTTGTTTTGCCTACTCTGCTTCCACACACGCATTCGCTCTCTGAATTCTGCCGGCTATTGCTTAGCCAAAGTGAATTAATCCACCCTTGCCGCCAATATGAGGTTTACATCGGCAGCAGTTGCCGTCGTCTTGCTTTCTAGCAAAAATTTCGGCCGAAACGATGCATTTTCAGTTCGACCCTCTGTTGTATCCCCCGTCAGACCAACTTTCGTTGTTCCACAGAAATTTCAACGCTGCGTTACTGTGACATCACAGGCACGAAACCCTAGCTTGGTTACTCTCAATTTTGCCGAGATTTCTGGAGGAATCGAAGAGTTGCAAGAACTAACAGAAAAGAAATCCACAAATGTCGTCGAACAACAAGTACGCAAGTCTCCTTCTTTCTGGAAGATCGCGGGTTATGCCACTATTCCAGTTTCTGCTGCTCTAGGTTTCGGTTTGGTTCCCAGCAGGCGGCTAGCGGCTCATGCAGCAGGCGCCATTGTTAGTGGCGTTGCTGGTGCTATTGGAAAGTCCCGGTTGGACGCGTACGCAGAATCAGCCGCTCTCCCAGCGATTGCTCAAGTTATTATTGACAATGGAATTGAAGATCCTATTACTACCAATGGATACGTCAATGAAATCAAGGACCTCTATGGAATCATCGACGACGATGATTTTGAGGCCATGTGCGCAGAGGTATACAGTAAATACCTATTGGGAATGGTCAAGTACAACCCCATGCCTAAATCGAGCGAACCCAAAGAGCTAGAAAAGCTCAAGGCAGCCCTTGGATTGAACAATCTGTTGGTAGGCGAGGCTCATGCCATTGCAGCACTAGAATGGTACCGGACGACTTGCTACTACACTCCCGAGGAAGATTTGGAAGATCCCGAGCATCCAGATCGTCAAGCCATGGATAAATTTCTATTTTTGACGGAGCGTGCCTTGAAACAGGGCGAAGAAACCAATGAGGCTTTCAAATTTGAAATGACGCGAGTGGCCAAAGCCATGAAATTGTCTCTCACAACCGCCTTGGATCGCGTCTCGGAGGTGCAAGAGCCATTTTACGAGCGCGCTCTTCGATCCACGCGTGCCAAACTTGGATCCAACCAAGTGTCTGAAGCTATGCTCGAACGAGCCCGACAGACTCTTGGAATCGATGAAGAAACAGCCTTTGACATGCATGTGGCGTGTTTTAACGACGAAGTTCGTGAGCAGCTCGGCTTGAAAGCAGAGACTGACGATGATGACGAGGAAGCTGCAGATGCTCCAGAAGTTGATCTCGCGACTGCCAAGTTCAAGGACGACTCCAAAGAGCGAGTAAGTTTGACACAATCATCTTAATAATTATGGAAGTATATGTGGAAAATTCTGACACGGATTTGTCAATGCTCTTTGTTTGAAGTTGGATCAACTTCGTAGCATTCTTGGTCTCTCGGAGTCGGACGCCAACTATGAAATCATCGCCGAGGCCACACCGCTCTACCAAAGCACCGCATTATCAGCTATGAAATCTGTTTTATCGGGTGTCAGCACACCCGATGATGCCTGGAAAAAGATTGAGGCGCGTCGAGAGGAGTTGCTTCTCCCCGAATCGAAGAGCAAAGACCTGCTCTCGTCTATTGTCATGCAGGCGTTGGGCGGTCCGCTCGAAGAAACGAACAAGTTCGCAACGGTTAACAACGAAGCCGCGGTGTATGAAAATCTCCTGGAAGCTTTACAGGCCAAGGAAGCTTTGATCGATATCTTGGCCAAATCAGGATGGGACGAATTTGACAACTTCGACCAGACATTCTGTGATCCATGGGATCGTCAATCTGCGAACGGCTTTTTGCGCTCCGATGAACGCATCAAGCTATACAAGATTTTCTTGAACCGATCCGTTCGCAAAGCGGAAGATGGCAAGATTACTGACGACATTTTCAACAGGATCCTGGAAGTCAAGGGTCTTCTTGGTATTTCAGACGACCAAGCGGAAGTTGAAGCTCGCGCTGCGTTTGGTCCTGAGTTGCAAAAAGCGTGCCTCAAGGCATGTGACGAAATCGTCCAAGATTACACCCCTGAGCTGGCCAAGAATATGGCGAAACAAATCAAGGATGTCTTGGATAATTTCAGACTATCGGAGGGATTTCTGCGAGAGCAAGGTGCGACTTATTACGCCAAGGCTGTGTCGCAGATTAGCGCCAAATCCCCTGCAGGTATCCCAACCGACGACATGAAAATCGCCCTAGAGTCTTTGCGAGATATGTACAGATTGGAAGAGAAAGATACATACCCCGCTCACATGGAGTATTTTGGAGCTGTTTATAAAAAGAGCATCCTGGAATCTATGGGATCAACGGGGGTGATTCGACCGGAATTCAAAGAAGCTTTGAAAGATCTTAGAAAGCGCTTGGGTGTACGCGAAGAGGACACCAAAGAACTTTTCTTGGAAGCGGTCGAGGAAAAATTCGTCCCCATGGTCGAATGGATCAACAGCGAAATGGAACGCACCATGCTTTCACAAAAACAGCTTTCGGAACGACGTGGAAAGGACATGGGCGAAGATGTCTTTCAGACTGGCAAATCTGCTGATGGAACACTTGGTCTAGGGGCTGAAGTCAACATTATGGGTGATATTATCAATCTAGTGGACTTTTACACCGAAAACGATATTGCGGAAGAGACGGAAATCGGAACAAAGGAGGTCGACGGAGAAGAAGTTCCAGTTTTGGAGACGTCTTATCCCATCACAGCAATTGGTACAGGGACTTTGGATCAAGAGATGGCGGAATATCTCTATCGCCAGTTCGTAGTAGGAGCATTCACAGCCCAGGGCGCACAAGCAGCACGATACGAAGACGCCCGGGCCACATTTGGTGGTATACTTGGACTCACGAGCGAAAAGATGGAAGACATCAACGACAACATCGGAAGCACAGTTTACGACAACTTCATATCTCGTTCCATGGCCAGTAAGGGTGTCCTTGACCAGCAAGATATGATGTTCCTCGCTAACATTCAGACAAAACTTGGACTCTCCTCTGAACAAGGCGAAAAGTTGCTGCTTCAGTCACAGAAAAAAATTCTTTCCGAAGAAATCAACGCCGTCATGGATAATCCTTCTCCCCAAAAGCTGAAGGCCTTCCGTGAAAAATGCAATATGATGGGCATGGATCTAGCCGAGGACGTCGGTATTTCTAGCCACCGTCTAGTTCGAATGTTTGAGGCAGAAATTATTCCTGCATTGAAAGCAGGTGAAATTACGGTGGAAAACACAGATCTATTGAGTGAGGTACAAGAAAGCCTCAATATGGATCCTGAAGAATGCGAAACTGTTTTCGAGAACACCGTGCTTCGTCTCGCCAAGCAAGCGATGGATTTGATTAATTCCGAGTTGATGAGAGGTCGTGACGAGAACACCGTCGAAGTCATCAACGAGTTGGTTCGTTATGCCGGCTTCACGGAAGGCGATTTGGACTTGTGTGTAGAGGAGGCCACTGCCCATAAGGTGTTCAATATCTACGAAGCCTTTGACTTTAGTGGCCAGGATAAGGAGACAGTTGAAGGAAACAAACAGTTGCTGAAGGTTGCGTTGGGGATTGCCGAGAGCTGATTAATATTGTGGAAGCTTAGTGCTGTTCAATCATTAAATAGTAAAGAGGCACTATGATGGTTTGTTTCCTTGCCACATGGCTAGACATTTTGACTAGCATGTGGTTTAGGCACGACATTTGACTGCATCATGATGAGTGACTGCAATCTTTGTATTAACTTTAGAAGTAAAGCGTGTCGAATCCCTTAGTGGGAAAGAGGCGCTAACCCGTAAACAATCTCTCTGGTGAGCGATAGGCAACGAAGATCCCAAGTACGCAACTTCATCATAACATATGTCATGCAAGCAAACCAATGCAACACATCTGCCTCGTAAGCAGCTGTGCATTGGTTGATTCATTCGATTGTTTTGTTTCAAAGCATCTCTCCTTTTGGAGTTGAGGCTACATTTGTATGATTATGTATCAAAAAGTTCTCTTTGATAGCAACGCAGCAACATCGACCCAGTGGCGCAACGGTAACGCGCGTGACTACGAATCACGAGATTGTGGGTTCGATTCCCATCTGGGTTATTTTTTTTCTCCACATCCGTTCATTCTCAGCGTGGTCCATCTCAAAAATAATTTTTGGATTTCTGCAGTCGCAATGACCGACTACGTAGAGTATTACTCCGTTGTAATAACGGTAACAGATTATCACAACGACGATGGCCTTATAAGAGGCAAAGGAGAATGAATGTTAGACATTTCATTTCTGAGAAGTGGTGTTTTTTTCTGGTTCTTGTCGTCAATGGCAACATGTATGATACTTCGTTCCAGCCAAAAGCAGCCGACTGAGGGTTGGTCTAGGATCGAAGGCGACTTGCAGACAAAGTCGAAATAGAGCAAGATGATACTACCAAAGAAATTGATCCAGCCTATGCCTCTAGAATTCAACAACAGCGTCTGGGTCTTCATCTCAATCCCGGAGTTGTTTGGGGTTTCCTTATACTCCGAGTATAATGTTAGTGCTGGCAATGTAATCTAGAACGCTGTAGTAATTCACAAAGTAACTATCGCTGAAATCGAGTCCCTGCGTATCAGTCCCAACAATCTTCGAAAGGTGTCCATTGTGATTGCGGCCGAGGCCTTCCATAGAGATGGTGGATTTCCTTACCTCCTTACACATTATCCTTAGACTACCGTAATCTTGAGTCCTCCGACGGAAATCCGCCGGGGGAATGTAACCCTGTCCGCCCAATCCCAAATCAAAGTTGAACAAGAAGGCGTTGGAATCAAAATTCTTTTCTCCGGAACAAGATAAGACCACTCGTGGAAATACCATCCATTCGAAGACCGAATGGTCGTGCTTGTTGCCGACTTGCAAATGACGTATGGAACGGCCGAAATGCCTTGTCGCCGAATCGCCATGGAAGATGCCATGTTTGAGGAGGTTTGGGATCGAGAAAAGTTCTCCTCCGGGTTGAAGGCGCCTCCAAAAGTGAAGGTATCGTTGTTGGGTGTCCTCTGTGTCGGAACTCGGCGACGGTGACGACCAAGTAAGTGCCATTGTCGCCGAAAATGTTGCTCCCATTCCATGTCAAATGGTCGAGGAAATTTCGGCTGGCAACGCCTTTGACATGACTTCTGCTGAATTCCGGATTCAGGTTCTTTGGATTGTAAGAACCATTGAAATAGATGCAAGATTGAAAAAAAGGAGAGAAGTTGGGGAAGACACGTCTACTGCAGTTTTCACCCTTACCACTAAAGATCACCTCATCACAGCCATTACGGGCATTGTTTCCCTTCAAGCACAAACCTGAGGAACGTATCGAAACCTGACGAACCTATAGAAAATAGCCCGTGTCAAAAAAAGGCAAGTGTGACCGTCGTTCATTTGAATATACCCGAGCAGAATGGACAAGACGTTGTATACCATAAATTGGACCAGGACAAGTCCCTCGGGAGTAAAATATCGGTGGCTCATGCTTACGACGACTTCGACCGCTATGATTTTTGCACGTCCAAGAAGAATGGGGCTACTGAAGAGGAGGATGAGGAGGATGAAGTACCTAGTGATGGATCTTCCTCAAGTAGAAGAACAACCGATCACATGCGTTTCTGATGTTACGATCCACAAACGTCAACCAAACACTGATTGTTTTATGTTATTTTTGCTTGTGATAGAATTTGGGATGTCATGTTAAACGAAGACGTTGGCAGCTTTGGCAAGAAGGAAAGTCAAGATTAAAAACAAAGAAAATACCTCTCTAGAGAGGTAGAGCGCTGTTGCCAGAGTTTGGAGATGCACTTTTACAAAGAGTGTCTCGACAAGGAATCATTGGACAGCCAATATATCTCTAGCACCATTGTCGTATCTCTCAAGCTTAAGGACGAACCATTGCTGGTATCAGGGGTGGTATTGGCCCCTAGTAAAGGCCTTGCAATATTTTAAGGTCAATGCAAGTCAGATCCCATCCAAGTGATATACATAAAAGTATAGAAGGGGATGCCAGGGATTTACTGCCATGTAAAAAATAAATCTCGAACCAATTTCAATACTGCTAGCTAGCTAGAGAGTAGAGTCGTAGTCATATCTATTACTACAGTATTATTATTAACTGCTACTTTAGTAGTACTTGTTCTGTCATCTCGGAACAAGTTCTCACCAGAATGCTTTATCCTTATCCCCTGAGGAGGTTTCCAATACAGCGCAAGAACCAGGAGTCAAAAATCAAAAACAAACGCTGCTGTTCTCTGTGGATAGAGTGAAAGTTTACAGTTAACGTCGTTCAAAAAACAGCCCAAAACATTTCTTCTCTCTTCCTTGTTGCCTCTTCTCTCGTGACTGATTCCGAAAGCCATCACAGTTCCGTCCCTGTCCCCGTTTTCCCGATATTGTTGGTAATATTTCATCTTAATAGTAGACTCTATAGTAGCCCCCTTTGTATCAATCAATCACTCTCGTCAATCGTTCCAGTTACCTGTCTATACCATGGCAGACGACAATGAAAATAATGATAATAATAACATGGACGTGAACCTCCATAATGCTGACGATGACGATGACAATGAGGATGACAACGACAACGACAACAATGAAAACAACAACAATCTAATCGACATGGACGACGATGACGATGACGACTTGAACGATAATGACACTACTCTAGATGGTGGGGTTGCCGTGGAAAGTCACAGTGGAGGCGCTGGTGCCAGTAGACGAAGCAGTGCGGAATGCGACTTGGTACGTGCGTTCCTTGTACTCTAGGTAGTTTGTTTTCTACGCACAGAATGCAAAATGCAAAGTGTTAACAAAACCGACAGTTTCCCAACGTTGCCTGTGATGGTTTTTACGTCGTCTTGTTGATTGATATCACACACGCAACTACATACAATCACACACAAAACACAAAAACTCTCATCTATTTATTACTGTTCATTTCGTTCTTCGGTAGATTCTATTTCTATACTGCAAGGAACCTCTTGATTTCGCCCCAGATCACCCAATCATTCGTCCCGGGATTACCGTGTCGATCGGGTTGGAGAAAAGCACAAAGTTGAGCGCAGTCTTTCGTCGCTATGTTGAATTTTGCAACGAGACCTCCAGCGGGGAGGATGGAGACCTTGTTGAGCTGAAAGACCTCGAATTCTTGCACTGTCAGTTATTGAACCCTCACGATACTGCAGAAACCAGTGCTCTGATGAAAAATGATCGTATTCTTGTCCGAAAAGAACAACGGGAAGAACGAGAGGCCGAAGCGGAGCGCAAACGCACCCAACGAGAGGCTGACCGAGTATACTTTCAGCAAATGCGACAGCTCATGCTGGGTGGAGGAACAAAAGAAGCTGATGTGATTTTGGATTGCAGGGGGAAACTTGTGGACAAGCATGGACGTAACCAACGGGTGCTTAGTACTACCGTTAGAGCAAACTCTGCCTTGATTTCTCGAAGATGTCCTTGGTTAGGAAACATGATTCGACAGGCAAGGGAGAAAGCGCGACAGAAGACACTCGAAGAACAACAAGAAGAAAAGGACCGCAATAATGACACCCCCGTACAGGTTGCCTCCGGCGCAACCGAAATTGTGGACGAGGAGGATGAGGATGTCCAGGCGGTGATGGACGAACACATGAACAACCCCCGCGAACACCGTGTAAATGAAGACATTGATATGATCATGGATGTCGACAATGATGGTGACGATGATGAGGACATCGATGAGGACGATCGGTCTCTCAATAGCGCTTCCGCCGCCGAACCAGCTCAGGTTGATGAATTCACCCCCGACATAGTTTCTTCATCAAATCACTCAAGGGCGGATTCCGAGTCTGACTTGCTGGTGGTTACGATCCCAAATCATTCGCCCGAGGCGGTGAAGCTTTTGCTGGAATATTGTTGCACCAACCGCGTGGCCCCTCTTGGACGTGATGCATTCATGCAATCATGCAAAACAAAACCAACAAAACATTTCGGACCCGTCCCTCCGTACCATGCGTCTCATCATTCCAAGAAATGGCCGAATGGAGGGCTCCCGCGAGTCGAATTCTCCGTTGCTCTTGACGGCATAAAGCTAGCGGAAGAAGCAGGAATTCCACGTTTATCGTTGATGTGTGAAATCGCAGCGGCTAATTTGGTATCTGTGAGTAATGTCACAGACGCATTGTCAATGTCGAGCTCCCAAAAAGAAATTTCAGGCAATGACTTGCCGCGTCTGCGGAACGCCGCAATGGAAGTCATCCTGAGAAGAGGTGAACGAGGTGTCAACGATCTCAGCCGTTCAGCTCAATTCAAGAAAGCTCTACAAGAACAACGGTCTGTCATTGTCCCTGCTCTTCTGCGAGGGACTATGGAAACAGTAACACACTGGGATAAAGTAAGAGGTATCAAAAGGGACGGCTCTGATTTGTCGTATCCGTCCTTTGAGCAGTTGGACAAGCTGGAGTCTATTGCTAGGGAAAGAGAACGAAGAAAGTGGCGAAGGGAGCGGTGGTGCAACGACCAAAACGCTACCAAAGAAGTTGATCCAGACGATGAGGACGATCCGCAAGACCCCATTTTTGGTGACTGGGAGGTCGAGGCCTCCCGAAGGTCTTTGAAACGAATGCGAGCCCATCACCTCGAAAATGTGCGAAAAACCAGAACACGATCCGCCACAGTGTCACAGCGCCCGTCGCAACGATCTAACAGGAAGAGACGCTCCAGTAGAAGTTAATGCGTATTTGTTTAGCTGGAAGGAGCCTCGCATCGACTAGATATGTGAGAACGAAAGCTTAGTTGAAACATACTCTCTATGAATACATCAGCGCTTAACGGCGCTGTGTACGAGCGAAAGAAAATTTTTTAGTAATTAGGGGCACAATTGTTACACGATGATGGATTCTGTTGCTAAATGTATGATAGCCTTTAGGGTCTGGGGGCACCCAAAGTACGACCTTATGGGCGTGGTCTCGTTGTATGATATCTTTCGGTACTCACAGTCAATTCACCACTGCCTCGGATTCACTCGAACAGTCATTTCCCCCTCTTTCATTCCGTATCCAACGATAGCTTTGCAAGCCAACCTCCATCTTGGATCGTCTTGAAGCATTTG